ATTTTGCAATAACAACAGCCAGATGGTTAGAATTAGTTGCAATTTCCAGGCCGGGTGGGGTGGGGTGGGGACCTTCTTCAGACCATTCTCCCTCATGGGCAACCTCCCAGGGGGAACAGGCCAGCTGGGATGGGGGGGGGAATCTATTCTGTTCACATTTAAAGCCAAGTTTACCAAATTTGCACTTTCCATAACAATATGAGAACTGAAAAATAATAGCCATCCATCAAAATCGGCACTTGTCTGTGATGCATATCAGGGGGAGATGCGCATGAAAATGAATCAATTAGTGAAAAGAAACAATGCATTATATTAAGGGAAATTAGAATCATAGAGTTGGAAGGGGTTCTGGGGGACATTTAGTCCAACCCCCTGCAATGCTGGAATCTCAACTAGATCATACAAGACTAATGGCCATACAGTCTCTGCTTAAAAACCTCTAATGAAGGAGAGTCCGCCACCTGTCATGGGAGTCAGTTCCACTCTCAAACAACTCTTATTGTCAAAAAGTTCTTCCTGGTGTTTAATCAGAATCTCCTTTTGTGCAACTTGAACTCATTGGTTTGGGTCCTCCCTGCTTGAGCAAGAGAAAACAAGCTTGCTCCATGTGACAGCCCTTTAGATATGTGAAGATAGCTATCATATCTCCTCTCAGTCTCCTCTTTTCCAGGCTAAACATACTCAACTCCCTCAACCTTTCCTCATAAGGCTTGGTTTCCAGACACTTTTGGCATCTTGGTTGCCCTCCTTTGCACATGTTCCAGCTTGTCAATGTTTTTCTTAAATTGTGGTGCCCAGAACTGGACACAGTACTCCAGGTATAGTCTGACAGATATTTCTGTGCATGTATATTAAATCCAGAGCAGCCGACACCCATGTGAGCCATTTCCTATAGTCCTCAATGTACTACACGCATGCATGGGAACTTTCACGGCTTCACCTGAAAACCAGTGTGATGACCCCATACTGCATTTTCTGGGCATCTTCTTGCACATTAAAAATCCCAAGACAACATCCATTCATTAGCCTCACTTAGAAGATTAATTACAATGACCTATTTCTGTTTAATCTTGCTAGATTTCATGCAGTCAATTGCACATTGAGATTAATGTTATCTCCCCACAATGCCCAATGCTTTGTTTGGACTATTACATTTTAAGTTATTTATTTATTGATGGTTTCAGCAGATTGTACTGTAAAGGGTTCAGTTTATGTTGCTCTCTACAGCTAAGAAGAATAACAATGTAGCATTCATACCTGTTAACAGAAACTTGGAAAACTGAGATTGAAACAGTAATGAGGGACAGTTCTAATGGGCAACATTTACCCATCACATTAGCCAGACATTAAAAGGTTCTCACTATACTTGGAGAACTACTATTTGTTATCCCCCCCCCCCGCTTTTGCATACCTTTCTCTCTGACAAACACCTGTTTACATAGGTGAGCAATTCCTCTGTCAACCTTGATTTATAAATGCATCTATTTTAAAGGTGCTTATTCCCACTCGGAAGCCTGATGGATTCACAAAGCCAACTTTGCCCATCATGGACAGCTATCCAAGTACACTCTGTTTGTTCTCTGTCATAAGGGATGTTCATTGTTCAAGTTATAAAGCCTTGGACAATGTATATCATGGAAAACTAGTTTACATTTTAAATAGCCACATAAATACAAGAGCTCAGGTGTTGAGGTAATGGATCTCTTAGAATGCAGTTAGTTCACCTGCTACACATAGGGGAAGGAAAGCAGAGAGATAATAAAATGAAGGTTTATCCTTTTAGGTGGAAGAATCCAGCTCGTCCAATGTATATCTGGACCAGGCCATAAACCAGATCTAGATGTAGAGATTGTATTCTTAGCTCAGGATGCCTGAGATCAGTGCCTTGAGCAAACCAGCATTATTTCCCTTGAACAGGCACACCTGTCAATCATAGTGAGAGGAGCCAATGTTGCATAAGATTGTGCAAAAAAATCCATTAATTTCTCTGTTTACTTGGCTTTTTAAAATTACACTATTCTCCTTGTTGAGAAATGATTTCCTAGGTTTGGTTTCTTAGAAACATAATTACATTTCTTTGCCATTTTGTCAGACATCTTGTTTATTTTTGTGCTTTTAAATGACAACTTGGAAGGGAGTTAGACAAAAGTACAAACAGTTGCCTCTTCTGGTTCTCCTGCAAGGGCAAACTTCATCATTTTGGGGTGGTTAAAATAGAAATCACTTAACCTTAACCTCCCCTTGTGTTTCGCTTGCAGTGAGTCTGAAAACAGGTGAAATGACAAACATTCCCCTTGGTAAACGGGCAATAATAGATTAGCAATGAGCAACGCAACTGGGACCTTATTTGAGCTACAATAAAGCTTAGTTGACTGGAGAAAAAAAGTACCAGGCCTCAAGAGGGGAGGGGAGAGAAAACCTTAATTAAAAATTCATTTAATAATATTGGACAACAAGAATTTGAGATAATGAAATCACAGGTACCCAAAAACTGAAGAAAGAGGATGGACCTTAGAGCAAGAAAACTACAACAAAGAGAAGGGGAGAAAAGCAACTGGAAAGGGATACAAAACAACAGACAGGCACACATGCAGCCGGAAGGGGTGGGTGGGGACTCCGAGAAGCGTGTGTGCAAACTTGAAAGGAAAAAAAGAAAGAGAAAACAAAGGGAACCCAAAAAATAAATAAACAAAGTGGATGTTGCCTGTTGGAAAGAAGAAAGGAAACAGAATAAAAGGGAACAAATAAATCACATGGAAAGCCCTAGAACTGAACAGAGGGAATGTGAAATGCCCCAGTACGAAAGGCCGGCAAAATAGCAACCAAATTAACACAAACCATGAAGAAAAGAAAAGAAAAAGAGTGGAATGAAAACACATTGATTGAAGTATTGATTTTAAATTGCTTGTTTGGAAACAGAAAGGGATTGGGAAGGATGCCAATAGTGCATTGGTCTTCTAAACATCCTTGTCTCCCAGGCAGATCTCACATGGCCATGTGATAACCAAATGTTTTATGCTTTTTTAAACATCCCTCCCCCAGTTTCAGTGTTTGAACTTCCCTGGTGGAAAAATTCACAGTGATTAAAATCTAGACCTGTCTGTCAAAATGAAAGATCTCTGCTATCTCTCCACCCACTCCCCACTGGAGCTCAGGGCACTGCCCGAGTCAGCTAGCAAAGTTCTCATTTGCAAAGGGAAGCAAAGCATTAGCCTAGGTATGAAGTAGAAACTAAGTAGGACCGGGTTAGCTGAAAAATTAAGTATGAGCCGCCTCAAGTTTAAATATCTTCAGGAAAAACCACCGTATTTTTCGCTCTATAAGATGCACCATATGGCGCACCCAGTTTTTGGAAAAGGAAAACAAGAAAAAACATATTCTGAATCCCAGAAACTAGGACAGCAAGTGGGATCGCTGCGCAGCGATCCCGCTGGCTGTTCTGGCTTATGGGATAGCCGTGCACAGCCTCTCCCGGGCAAGGGGAGCCTTCATCCCCTGCCCGGGAGAGTATGCACGTGGCTAAGGCTTCCCCAAGAGCCATGCTCCCTTTAAAGAGCGTGCGGAAGGGCAGCCCTTCTCCCTCCTCAGGGAAAAGCCCCCAAGAGCCACACACATGCTCCACGCGGCTCTTTAAAGGGAGAGCAGAGCAGAGCCTCCCGCCTGCATTCACTCCATAAGATGCACACACATTTCCCCTTCCTTTTTAGGAGGGGGAAAGTGTGTCTTATAGAGTGAAAAATAAGGTACTTTTTCTGTCCCATCAATATGTGAGGCACATCTGACAGAAGCTCAAAAGAGAGCTTTCTTGGTGGCTGTTCCCAGGCTCTGGGACATCTTATCAAGGGAGGCCCAGCAAACTTCATCTCTGGTGACCTCCTGCCAAGAGACAACAACATTTTTATATAGGCAAGCCTTTGGCTCATAAACTGATTTGGAAGTGTGCTGAAATTGGTTTATAAAAACAAAATTATTTTTTGTGATACTTTACTTAACCCAACAACTTATTTTTATTAGTTTTTAAATGTCTTTAATTATATTGTTGCTAGCTCCATTGAGCACAATTTCAAAGAAAGACGGAACAACCAACCATGGGGGCAGCTTCTCTATGAGTGGTTCCATGTATAAATACCAAGGATAAGCACAGAGGTGACAATAAAAACGCAATGCTGAACTATAATGCACTACCATTGAATTCAGGCAACTGTCAATATCTTGGATTACTGCTGCCACTATGCAGTCTTTGGAGTAAGTCTTTGGAAACCCTGGCTTCCAAATTGGTTGTGATGCCTTCCCAACCCCTTGCGCAACATGCACAGAGGGGATCAGGCCCTACTTTGTAAATTGCAATACAAACTAACTTACTCTTGCCCCTCCTGGTCTAAACCAGCACCTCCTGGATGTTCTGTAACCTTGGGTTGCACCAATGGTGACAGTGACCATCTGCTAACAGAGATTTCAGTCCGTTTCCAGTAATGTGTCCATTTTGCATGTGTTCAATCATAATTCCACTCTGTTTCTTCATTAACTTGTGATTTTTTAAAAAAGAATTATGAGTACAATTTTTAATATTTATTTTGTCACAAAACGCACATGTAAATAATATTTTATCTATATGTAGCTTCTCCTAAAATATACATTTTTGCTGTATTGGATTGTATTTTTAATGCATTGTATATGATCTGTGCATTAGTCTAGGATGTGTAAATTAGGTAAATTGTGAACCAAACTAAATTCTCCTCTGTTCTTGTGTACCACTAAAATGATCGGTTATTTTATAATTTGAGATTAAATACCACAATTTCACATACTTAGTACCTCAAATGTTAACCCCAGTTGCTGTAAATATCTGCAAGACTATGCACAATGCTTCAGAATTCAACCTGTGGAAATGGGCAAGAAGCCTGTTGCAAGAAACATTTCCTTAAATGACTTTCAACCCATGCCTGCCGGAAGTACCATGTCACTGACAAAAAACAACAACACCCCCTGCAGATACTAACCTTCTGATCCTGACTATAGGCCAGAATCCAATCCTCCTGTTTGGGATGGAAGAGCATGCTGTGGATGTAGAAGTTCAGACGGTATTTTTGATAGGTGGCGCCTTCATCAGAACTGATCAACAGGCTGCTCTCAATCTCGGGGTCAGTAAGCAACATAATCTGTAAGGATCAAGCAGAGGAATACTGGAGTTTAGGATGAGGATAGGCAAAGAAATAGCTAAAACCTCTAAAGCTCTAGGAAATTCTTTTTTTTCCCCCATGAAAGAGTATTCGTTTTAGTGAGCGCCATGGCTGTGCAAAGCAGCACAAGCAAAGCAAACAAGTTGATACAAAACAAAGGTGACCTTCTCGAAGGCAAAGGGATTTTATAACTAAACATTCTACTTATCAGAACTTCTCCAAATACTTTTGTAATCCGGTCTACTCTAAGTTCTTCACTGCGTTCAGCATTGCTACATTACACTGCATTACAGCATTGTAATTTTGGTAGTGAATGTGATAGGACAGGTGTGCCCTATAACTGCATTTTGAGCAGGAGCTCAACAGTTTTGCATTACAGAAAACGCTGCTCAGTTTTTGGTTGGTTTCTACCGAACCAAAAGTGGCATAGACTGAGTAAAATACTATGCCACTGAAAAAATGAAACTTTGAGGTCACTAATGTAGTGTTACTAATTTAGAGACTGAGCACTGTCAACTGGAAAAGCAAAGGTTAACTTCTCTTCCTCTGAGATTTCACTCATTCATTAACACATGAGCAGCACAAGAAAGAGAGGGTTGTCATCGTGATGCCAAACACATTGCTCAAAACTCCATAATGAGGGTAAAAGTGAGAGCTGAGAAGTGTCTTAAAGTGGTAAATAAATAATTTAAACTATATATAGCAGAAATTGGAAACCCTGAATGCAGACATCAATGTTTTTTGGGCAATTTCATGGTAGTCCTACATACACTATCAATATGGATAGCTGCTTGCATTTCCAGAGTGATTCCTTGTAATATAGGTTACTGTGTCACCATCAACTACTTGACATGCCTACTGTCTTTCTCTGTCTTTCTCTACAACAAAACTGGTTACATTCTCAAATGCAGGAACTTTTTCACAGATCTGGACATCATTCTAAAACACCCGAGTCAACTTGCTAAGTGAAAAGTATTTCACTCTCAGCACTTGAAACCCTGGAACACAAACAAAAGTTTGTCCTCCTTCACTGTGGAAGACTGCCATTATATTGTTTCTCGCCCTCCCCTGGCCAAGTGTTATTAATGTTTCCCAAATCTCACTCCTAACTCACAGAAATAAGACAGGATTCAGATTGGATCAAATGAATCACTTCAATGAGAAAGCTGTAACTGGTCATTTTAAAATGGAGAGACTGGTTTGATCTGCAGGACTGAGAGTCGGTATATAGAGGGCACTGGACTGTCACTCTTCTATGCAATGTCACTCCAGAGCTGTGTATACATCAGGGTGCAAATGCGCACAGTTTGCACATATCTGACCCATATGATTTTATGCTGGATTTCCCCTCCTCACATTATATGCAAATCAGGAAGATCCAAATTCAACAGGGCAAAAGCACAGACAGCTGCTTGGATGAATAGACCATGTGGATGATGTGAAAAAGCATGCACAGATGGGATATATAAAATCTACATTAAACTGCTGTGTACACCCCATGTCCTTTCTGTCTTTCATCCATGTTCCTCTTCTGTTTTCCTCTCTACTTTGAAACTGGTCATGTCAGCCCATCTCATCACTTAATTCTGCTTTCAGGAATCCGGATAAACAAATGATAAGTATTTTAATCTGACCGGTGTCATTTCATATAGCTAACAATACAAAGACATGGAGCAGAATCCACAGAGGTGAGATGCATACATGGGGCAGAAATGCACACGCAACCAGAACTGCAGCACTTCTTTCTGGCAAAGTGGCAACTGCCTTTCCAAATGAACAACAGATTGTCTCTTTGGCAGTGGGAGCTACTATGGCACCAATATAAAGCCTTGGCTATGCATGCTCTCTGCTCTCCTGCATGCAGATATCAGTTCTTTGGATTTTGGCCACAGTTCATTGTGCCAGTGCACATGCCTGCAAATAAGCGACACACTGAAACAACTCTACATATCTGGCTTCTCTAGGCAGAAACAGTATGAATGGTGCACAAAAAGCTCCCTCAGCAAGATGCACCCATTGGCACGGATATTAAATAGACATATATCAGCATGACTTCTTGTTGGATGATATATCAGCAGTGCCAATATTCAAAAAATGAACAGACAGATGGTTGAGTAATTCCATTACCTAAAACAAAATTAAAACTGATGCATATTAGCTGTTCGCTCAGCCCACCCAACTAAGTAATTAGCATATTTGTCTGCCTATTTTACACTTCTTTTGTATAGGTATGCATGCATGGATATATGCATGTCCATGCAAAAGCAGGCACACATGTACAGGTATAAGTGTTATGAATATATTTATTGAGTGATGTGAATTTTCTATATTTAGTCTTCCATTTATATTATCTGATAGTGTCTCCATTCAGAATCTGTGGACTGGAAATTCTGTAGCAGGGGGCAAAAGCAAACTGTTCCAGATATCTAATCTGAATTGAAAGCCACCCACTATAGCAGTCAGAATGCTCATAGTATGGACATCTGTGAGACCTGGTGATATCAGTTGAGGTATATAAATCATTGCATCATCATTACAGATTGTGGCAGAAACTTGCAGTCAAGTAAAAGCCACTGGGTCTTGTGATAACATAAAGGTAAAGGACCCCTGACAGTTAAGTCCAGTCACAGATGACTCAGGTTGCGGTGCTCATCTCACTTTACAGGCCGAGGGAGCCGGTGTTTGTCCGCTTCCACAGACAGTTTTTCTGGGTCATGTGGCCAGTATGACTAAGTCGCTTCTGGCGAACCAGAGCAGCGCACGGAAATGCCATTTACCTTCCTACCAGAGCGGTACCTATTTATCTACTTGCACTTTGACATGCTTTCAGACTGCTAGGTTGGCAGGAGCTGGGACCGAGCAATGGGAACTCACCCTGTTGTGACCGGCAAGCCCAAGGCTCAGTGGTTTACACCACAGCGTCACCCATGACCTGTGATAACATAATGACTAACAAATAAGGATGGCATAAACTTTTGTGGACTTGTATCTGCTTCATCAAATGCATGAAGTGGTGTGCAAAGTTTGATGGTTATGCACATGTTTGTGAAGGGAAAATAGTTGTCAGTGGTGAGTTCAGAGGAAAGTGAAGTGTAAAAGCTGAGGACCGTACTGGTTACATTAAGGTTTTACTATATACAAAGTCATTCATGATGTTTGTAACAACACAAACCATTCTCAGCCACTGAGGATGCTTCGGGTACCCTTATTTATTTGTGACAATCCTCCTACTGTTTGCAGTAGACAAGAGCTGTTCGACAGTGGAATTTGCTGCCAAGGAGTGTGGTGGAGTCGCCTTCTTTGGAGGTCTTTAAGCAGAGGCTTGACAACCATATGTCAGGAGTGCTCTGATGGTGTTTCCTGCTTGGCAGGGGGTTGGACTCGATGGCCCTTGTGGTCTATTCCAACTCTATGATTCTATGATTCTAAGAACATGGGGGTGGGTGAGAGAAGAACCATGCACACCCCTTGTCAGAAAGAATGCTTAAAATAGAGCCCATAAAAAATGGAATTTGGTAAGATTTAGGACTCATCCAGACTTTTGTGTTGTGTTTCTAGGTGCAAGTCTGTGTCCAAGCAGGGGGTTTTCTATCCTCTGCTTTCCCTGGGGGGAAATTCCACGTTTTACTATTGAATTGGAGCAAACAACATTTGGGTTTCTTTGAGGTTTTTTAAAATACAAAAGTTAATATTTTGAACTTGCATCTCCTGACTGATGAGAATCATCCCCTTCTAAAGGAGGCACTAAAAGGAAGTCTGCATGAGCCTTAAATAGCCCAGACTTCAGAAAGCTAGTAAAGAGGGGTCACACATGTCAAAACCTCCTGTAAGTAAAATAAAAATAGAGAACAGGAAAGGTTGGGAGGGTGTTTTATTTATTTATAAGATTTCTTAGTGGCACTTTGCCATAAGGTCCCTGGGTCAGTTATGCTATTATATACAGTCATTAAAAACAGATAAAATTGTTAAAATTATAAAGCAAGTAAAACTGTTTAAAATGGTCCTACCAAGCACAAGATCATAGCTGTCACATTCCAAGGTAAAGAAATGCATCTTCAATATACAGCAAAGCTATACTAAGAGGATGCTAGGTGCACCTCTGGGGGAAGAGGTGTTTCAGTGTTGTTGACAGAGAAAGGCCTCTCTTTCTTCAGAAATATTTGCAGGTAAATTTATAACAAGTCATATGATTAGTTAACTAATATATTTAATATCCCTGCCACAAATTCAGGGGAAGGGACTGAATACATGGACTATATTTCTTTTCTAATTCAATCATATGCAATCCTGTATGCAGGAAGGCTGAAAATACTGAAAGACTATGGTAAAAACAGTGTTTTTTTCTGGGGGGGGGATGCAGGGGAACACATACCCCTTAAAATTTGTGAATCTAAGTTTGGTCTCATTGAGGGGCAGTATTTCAAAATCAGTAGGAAAATGAGAGTACCCCTAAATGGTTTTTAAAGAAAAAAAGCACTGGGTAAAAACAAACAGAAACAAAAAGGGGTAAATATTTTACTTGAACAATGCAAATTACTCTATCAGACATTTTGCTCTGGCTTTTGCCACATTTGCTGGATACTGGCTGAGAAAGTAATTTCTGAATAATATGCTGCGCTGCTAATTGATAGTAAGCACTTCCCAAAGAGAGTATAAAGCAACATGAGTGACATCTGTCACTTTGTTAATGATCTAGTTTTATGTGCAGCCATGCTGTAATAGATGAAGCAAATGATGGAAAGTTTGGGGTTTTTTCCCCTTTGTTATTATGTTTGGAAATTCTCTTTATTGTGGTAATTTGTGGCTATATTTCTATGCATGCTTGAGTTACAAACCAATGGGTACTTTCCTCAGAATAACTGTACCTGAACACAGAACAGTATATTCAACTGTGAGTATACGCTATATTTTTGTGCTTTTCATTTTCTCATCTAAGTTTGCACAGGATAGCAGCTCAAAAACTGGGCTTGCATGTACAG